TATATATATATATATACTATATATATATATATATATATATATATATATATATATATATAATAAATACACAAATGTCACATTTTGCCTTAAGTCGATGTCAGCTTTAATTTTCCTACATTCTTTTGCATTTACAGAATGACTGCAGCGATGACTTTAAGCGGCTTCTGATCGCACTATTGAATTAATGAATTCACGGAGTTATTTTCGTTACTAAGAATTCAATCAGATATTTAACATAAATGTCAATAATCCAAAAGCATGTAAATGTAATGCCCTATATTTGCAATAAACGTATACATTCATAAATAAATCCTCAACTGATTATATGAGAAAATATCTGTTTTCTTTTTCAGAATGATTGCACCGCTGAGTGGAAAAGATTATTAATAGCAATGTTGAATTAAAAGTAGTTATAATGTGGAAGAAAAAAATTTGGGACAAGAAGTATACAATATACAAAATTATTATATTTTTGTATCACATAATTAATTATTCTATACTAATGACATGTAATGAATTTATAAGATTATAGAATTATGTTTAAAACAAAAAAAGATTATTAAGTAATAATTTGCTTTGCTTAAACACGTTTTTTTCAAAATAATAAATGATTAATCATAACTATTCTCTTATAATTAGATAAAACTTAATTGCATTACAATCTGGCACAAAAATAAAGAAAACATACATATTATATATCCAAAAACTCAATATAAAAAATATAAAAAACATATTACTTAATTTATAGAGATTCTGTATATGATTCATACCATGACCACATTAGGTAACATGTCTTTTTCTTTCCTCTTAAAAAATATTGGTAGCAAGTTGCTTTCTATATATTCTGTTTTTTCATGTAATTTAGTCTGAATACAACCCAATTGTATTTTTGCAATTCTGAGTTTCATTATTCTTCCAAAGATCTCGAAACAAGCATGAAACATATCGACTTTAACATCTATATCATAGATATGTAAGCAAATTTCAACATCCAATGCATCTACAATATCCTCGCCAAAACAAATGGGTGGTGGATTTCGAGCTAAAAATATATTATTTTATTTATTGAAATAGGACAATCGACATTGTGTACATTTTAATTCGCAATTAGAAATTACCTGAAACTGTTTCATTAATAATCGTGAAGTTGTTATATGTAACAGTAACTGAAATCCCATAATCTTTCTCTAAATAACTAGCGTTTGCACACACTATACAAAAATAAATCATATATAATATAATATGCTAATATAAATGTCAAAATAAATACTATAGTACTGTATCTAAATAATTATATACTTACATCTTCCATCCATAGAGACTTCATCCCATTCTAAATGTTGACAACATCCACAATCATACTTAATGCATTCGCAACCATTATACATTTTCATATTAAATTCATCTAAAATATAGAAATGATTCCTTTTTAACATTTCTATATCTCATGGATATTTTATAATTATTTATTAAGTCTTTTCAGTATGATTTTCACATATAAACTACAATTATATATTGTTAATTTGAAACTCGCAAATTAATTCAGATCTTTATCGCTTATCCCTCTCATAATGATATATAAAATACTATATATAAAAAAATTTCATATTAAGTATTGTAAAATTTAATAAAATGTTAATATTTAAATGTTAATATTGTAACGTATATATGTATGTTAATATTGTAATAATGTATATTAATATTTAAAAATATTTTACACCAAATATGTTATCAAAATATTTATATATTTAATATATACTTTGCGTTTCAATATCCGCTATTGTGAAATCTGTCGTCGTTGATACGATTGCACTTTGACCTGTTCCTTCTGTGATATCAGCATAAACTAACATAATAATATTAATGCTTATAATTGCAATATAATGTAATTGTAGCATTGTATCTATTTTTTAGTTTTAGTTCTCTAATATTTGACGAGATAAATGGAATCTTATTAAATATATCTTTTCTCGGTAGGATATAGTTCGATACAATTATATATGTATTCTTTTCTTTTTAATCAGAACCTTTAACCCAAGATTGTAGTTATCAGTTATCTGTGTATCACTTTTCTGTGATACCACCATCAGATTTAAATTTTTCCGCCTAGCACTAGGCTATTATTATTCCTTTGAAATGATCTTACTCTGAAGCTCTGGAGCTAACAGTAATTAATGATACAAAATAAAAAATGTATATAACACAGCAAAAATGCAATGACACGAAAATGCAATGACACAAAACAAAATTTTATGGGAATATATCCACCGCATCCAACCACGGTATGGGGAATCCCAGATTCCGGATCCCGAAATAGTTCAGAATAGCCATAGAATGTAGTATATATAGACTGTGAACTCTGCTTAATTTTTTTTTAAATTGGAAACCAAGTATTAAATAATAGCTAGTGTTTACGTAATTGTAAAAATTGGGATAATTGGGATCAGTCTATCAGTAGATTACAATTTTCAGCAAGACAACCAGCAAGATAGTTAGCAGAAACACACAAACAATCCAATAGCTAAAAAAGCATCGTGACGTCGACTTTAAATATATCTATAGTAAAATGGAAAAATAGGGCCATTGCACAAAATGATATAAAAAAAAAATGACAAATAATAATTATATATGCATAACATAGGATTATTTAGATCAATGAGCAAGTTATATAAATCAATGGCGACTTTGTTGGAACTTCATTGGTACAGATGGTTTTATGTTATGCGGTTATCACGTTCTATGCATTTTGTGTGCGATGGCTTTTAATCTTAAGGTTAATTTTCATTAAAATTATAGTCATTTACATCTCCTATTTTCTGTTAATAAATTTTTAAAAAGCGGTATTTACGATATTTGTTCTTGTAATAAGTTTATGATAATTATTCTTAAGACAATTTTAAATTACATTATCGTTATTTTTTAAAAAACGTTACCAATTCGTTACCAAAAAAAGAAACTAACAGAAATGGCGATACAAGTAACAAGGGCATAAAAATAAGTCACCTAATAACTTTGTATTTATTTAGAATAAGATTTTGTCTTTAATTAAATTGTTCGAATCGAAAAGATCAGAAAGAAAAAATTATTTAAATAATACTAGGAAATACAGAAAAATATATCGCTATTCCTTTGATTCTTGCCGTTCGAGCGATTCAAATACTCCTAAAGGCATTTATTCAAAATAAATCATTTTCGCGCCGTGCCGGAATCATTGAAGTAATTACGCAAGAGCGAGAAGAGAGATGAAAAAGGAGAAAGACAAATGAATAAGGAGTGACGTGTGCGAGCAAAGGAAAGAGAGAGAAGAAAGGCGCGCGCGATGGAACGGAAATCGCTGTTCGTTCACGATTGAAGCGATCGCACACATGACGCGTGTAGAACGTAGACGAGATCAGATCACGAGGGATCGGAGGGCGGAGGGAGGACGCGAAACGACAGCAGCAACGTTAGCACTGGTAACAGCAGCAATAACAGCAGCGGCAGTAGTAGCAGTAGCAACAGCAGCAGCAGCGGCGGCGGCAGCAGCGATCACGACGGCGACTGCCATCTTGAGCGTGACGCGCAACTCAGAGGTCGTGGGCTCCACCAGTGACGAAGCCACTGGAGTTTTGACGTGGCTGCTACGTACCTGCTCGACTGCCCACTCCGATTGCAGCAAACTTGGTGACGAGAAATACGTAACTGGTAAGTGCCCCAGCTGGAGAATAATAACAATCGGGCCGTGGACCAGCGCGCGCTCCTCGCGCACCACGGGCATCGAGCGCGCGAGAACGAGAAACGGCCGCGCGTCGCCGCCACCACCGCCGTCGTCGTCGTCGTCGTCATCCCCGTCATCGTCGCCGTTGTTCGCGACTCGCGGGAATACGCGCGTTTAACGTCTGCTGCGCTTAACGAGATGCTGCGAAATATGGCGACCCGACGGAAGATAGAGACCACGCGCATCCCGCGGTGTCAGCTCCTCGAGGGGGGTTACGCGAGCCTGTCGCCCCGACGTCCGCAACCTGGGAGGGGGACATCGTTGCGGGTTACGCGATCATGATCTTTCGGGATATGCGCGGATCTCTCGAGGACTTCCTTTCGCCGTTTACTTGGGTGGCGTGTCGCGACGATTCCCTCCGTCGTTCGAGAGAAAGAGACGGAAAGAGAATACCTCGAGCGCGTGTTTATTGTCCCCTCCCTCCCCTTTCCGATCAGTATTATTTTTAGCTCCGCTTATGTAAATGACGCAGTAGCATTCGTTGGCGGGAAGTTCGAACGAGTCATGCTCCAGAAGTTTTATCGTATTTTGATAAGAAGTATGTTAATCATTACATTATTCAAGAATATGCGTGTGAATTAACTTTATTTTATGATTTTATGATAGGATATGAAATTTTCTTTTTCCTTTCTTTTTTTTCTTGGATATTTGCGACTGCAAAGTGCTGTATGTTGCAGAGCTCGCGAGGTAGCCGGGCTATGGAAAGTATGGTCGAGGAAAATGGATCAGCCGTCGATCCGTTGTCCCAGAGTTCTCAGAGCGGCGATGCAGCACCAGCAATTGCAACCTCGGTACAATCTATCGATAGAACGCATCAGCAGCAAACTCATCACCTGGTAGCTTCTACCAGCATTGTGCAATTGACGCTACCTTCGTCAGGAACAACACAGGTATACAGGAGACTCTCCTGTGTATCTATGTCTGATAATTTGTCTTCTCTTTATTTCGAAGCATGCGCATACAATTTATTTGTCCTTTATAAACATTATTGTTTCTTGTAATCTAAGTGGGAATTTAGATAATCAATATCTTGCATAATGCTGGTTGTATCTTGGGAAAAATGCAAAACTTTCCCAAGATTTACTCTCATTCTTAGATTGTAGGAAGTTGGAAATATTTTTTGTGAATGTGACGTTGTATATGAGATATATATATTGGGCACACGTTTGAGATTCCATGCAAATAAGTTCCTATCTTTCTCATAGTATACTACAAATCATGTACGTTATTTCTTTCCATAATAGTATAAATTATTATAGTGGGTATCGGCAAGTTCAAAAAATATTATATGTATTTTGTATAGAGTGAGGAATAATGATCATATATGTACATATATATACATGTACAATTATAATTTCAATATAATCAATTTAACAGTTTATAATACTCGATGTTTTATGTGATAATAATACAGGTGCAATCAGTCATACAACCCAATCAACAATCTGTAATACAAACTGCTACGAATATACAACCTGTCGCCATCTCCAAAGGAAACGTTATTTTGGTTAGCAAACCCAATTCTGTTATACAAACTGCACAGGGAAGTTTACAGACACTGCAGGTGAGTTTTGTCACAAATTATGTTATTTTGTATAACATTTTAAAAATATATTGTTTAGACAATAGATAGAAATAGTTTAGAAATATATTTTGTTTGATTTTCATCAGTATGCATAAATATACTTAGTGATAAGTGTATATGTACAGAGTATCTGAATAATTTAAGTAATAATATATAGAATAATACATAGTAATAATATATAAAATATAAAATTGGAATATTTCACTATTTGCTAAGGTGGTTGAAACCGGAAGCGACGACAGTTTCTCAGACGAGGATTCACCTAAAAAGAGGAATATTCTAACTAGACGACCATCTTATAGAAAAATCCTCAACGATTTAGGTGGAGGAGAAATTACAGGTAAGATATAATGTTTTTTTCTCAAATGAACTTGATCTGAAACAATAGATACATTAGATCGTATAATAAAAATTCAAGTCGCGATATAAAGAATATGATATCATGTACTTACTTGTTTTCGATTGTTAATAAATTGAATTATCAATAAATATAAAAAAATAAATATTTATATTCGCATCTTGCTCTTGATTATGTAATATGTGCATGTCAGTTCATACAAATTGGTAACTAATAACGTAGTATAATTTATGTATCCATGTTTTGAAATTTAAAGAACTTTGTCAGATTATCTATTGCTACTAAAATTAGTATAAGTATGCGTATTTCTTTAATCATTATATTGCTATGTAATTTATCAAATGAGTTATGGTATATCAGATACGGTATAATGAATATTTGTTTGCTAAAATTTTTTCCAGCATTTTCTTAATTTTATTAAAAAATTTTTCAAAATATAATTAATTTTAACGCGTGGTCATATAGGATATCTATGATCATGTGTTCTTTTATATATTATGTTTTATGTTGGGTATATATAAAAGAAGTATGCCATACCAAGCTTATATAATATACAATATTGCGAACGGTAAATTAATTTTAAAAGTAGATATGAAAAATTTAGGATTAAGAAGTTAAAATTCTACGAGAAAATTTGGGCAGATTGCTCTTCTCACCCTGTTATTTT